TTAGAGTTAAAGGATTTATATGAGACAACAGCAGATGGGAGAATACATGGAGTGTTATTTGATGATTTGGGAGTTGAGCTACCTTTTCACATATTGCATAAATACAGCATTCTTTTTACTTTCTTGTTTAAACAGTTGTTTCGTATAAACTCCCATTCAATTGTAGTCTTGTGAGTGTGGTTTGGCTCAGATACACGATGAGATCATAACAGTTTTGATTTGTTTTTGTCACGCCCTTTTTTATCGACAAAGGTTCAACAGGGCATCTCTTTAGTTGTCCAATTATTTCTTTAGTCGACTACAGCCGCAGTTAAAATACAGCTTGAAGTTGAAGTCTTTGCTCTAAAATTGATTTACATTACAGCCATTATTATTACAGCGATCATCAGACTTTTCCCATTTATTTCAGTCCTGCGTCAGAACAGCGTGTTGTTGTCCTTGTCCTCTGTATTAGTTTGACTTTGTGGCTTTTTGAGCGCTCTAAATGTCAGCAGTGATTTGATCCTGATTCTGTCTTGTGTCTGCGGATCACTCGGAAGCTCACAGCTCTTCCTTCAGGACACTCTCAATAGACCCCAGTATGCGTAAATAAAACATGCATTAAGCCAGTGGATTGTATGGTGGTCAAAAGATCTGGAAACCGCTAGCGTTAGATATGAAATTTAACATTTTTTTGACAAATTTTGTACAGTACGTCTTTGGGAGAAAGGCATAAACTCACGAGATGGGAGCACATGCACAGTGTATGAGAGTGTTTGTTTGTTGCAGCAAAAACAAGGATTGATTTGTTGAGACAAGTTGGCTCAAGACCACATCCTTATCTCGGATGCACAATTACCCCCTCTCTCTTTCCCCTCTTTCTCTATCTCCTCCATCTCCTTCACTTGTTTCTGATTGTACAGTTTAAGGGACAGGCCAAGAGTCTCATTCGGCAGTCAGGGAAAGAAAATCAAATTTAAACTCTTGACAAACCACTGGTATCCAAAACTATTCCCCAATCTTAAACATGAATTAGGAGTCACCATGTGTTTTAACTTAAATCAGCAAAATTGGCAGCGTTTAATATCGGCAGTATCACACATTTGACACTTCATCGCACTTCTCTTTATAAATACAGAAATAAATGCGGTTTTGAAGGATATAGTTTGTAATACTCAGATCTGCTTGTATCTCACTGTGCAAATATTACATCATTTGGTGTCAAGCATAGGTCTTTACTGTGCTGCGCCAATTAAAATGTGTAATGTATTACGCGCAGTTATAATTTCAACACATCATGAAACGTTTTATTAGTTGTCAAAAAGTAATTTGTTAAAGGTGCTCTGCAAAATTTACACTTATGAACTGTAAGGTATGTTAGAATGTTGTTACCTTTTGTTCAGTGGAGATTGGCAGTTCCAGAGCTGAAATGATCCAAATGATTCCAGTGAAGGTGTGTGGAGTTTAAAAACACAGTGGAGCAATTCTTGTATTACTACATGTTTGAGAATATTTTGGCCAAGATATGCAGGATTTGTGTATCGAACATTTGTGAATGAAACAAAACGTATCTCCAGCTGTGTTTTTGGTGAGGAAGCAGAATTACAACAGATCAGAAAATAGTGTAATACTGGATCTTAAAAAAGTAAATTGAAAACTAAATATAAATATAAATTCAGTTTCAAGTCCATACTGTTGAAAAATAAAAAATACTGTAGTATAGTTCTATAACATGTGTAAGTTAAATCATGGACAATCACACCATGTTTTTTATTTATTTATTTTTTTATGTACAATTAAATGTTGACAAACTTTCTTAACGTTGCAATTAACTATGTTTTTTTTTTTTTTTTTTTTTTTTTTTTAAGTTAAAGTTGCGGTCAGGGGTGTAGTGGGTGTGGTATGCAGTGGAACGCCATCCATCCACTTCTCCTAACACGATATATATAAAAAAACAAATATAAAATATAGATAGGTCTAGTCCTGGTTTAGTCCTGGTTCAGTCCTGGCTTAGTCCTGGTTTAGTCCTGGTTTAGTCCTGGTTCAGTCCTGGTTTAGATCTGGTTCAGTTCTGGTTTAGACCTGGTTCAGTTCTGGTTTAGATCTGGTTCATTTCTGGTTTATTTCTGGTTTAGTCCTGTTTCAGTCCCGGTTTAGTCCTGTTGTAGTCCCGGTTTAGTCCTGTTGTAGTCCCGGTTTAGTCCTATTGTAGTCCTGTTGTAGTCCTGTTTCAGTCCCGGTTTAGTCCCGTTGTAGTCCTGAGTCAGTCCTGGTTCAGTCCCGGTTTAGTCCTGTTTCAGTCCTGGTTCAGATCTGGTTTAGTCCGGATTTAGACCTGGTTTAGTTCTGGTTCAGTCCTGTTTCAGTTTTGGTTTAGTCCTAGTTTAGTCCTGGCTTAGTCCTGGTTTAGTCCTGTTTCAGTCCTGGTTTAGTCCTGTTGTAGTCCTGGTTCAGTCCCGGTTTAGTCCTGGTTTAGTCCTGTTTCAGTCCTGGTTCAGATCTGGTTTAGTCCGGATTTAGACCTGGTTTAGTTCTGGTTCAGTCCTGTTTCAGTTTTGGTTTAGTCCTAGTTTAGTCCTATTCAGTCCCGGTTCAGTCCTGGTTTAATCCTCCTGGTTGAGTCCTGGTGTAGTCCTCAAGTCTTAGTTTAGTTCTGCTGTATTCCTGGTTCAGTCTATGGTTCAGTCCTGGTTTAATCCTCCTAATTTAGACCTGGTTTAGACCTGGTTCAGCCCTGGTTTAATCCTCCTGTCACGAAACACGAATCACGTACCACCATTTAAAAAATCCTCACTACACCACTGATTGCGATACACTTTCTTGTCCCTGTAGAGAAACGTGTCCCCTCCATCTGACCCACCCTTCCCATCCCTCCATCTCCAGATCTGTAGCGAGGCTGTTTCCAGTTCTCATATTTTTTGTGTATCACTCACAGCCCTACATCCAATTACCAACATTCTTCATTCATTCATTCTTTGTGACAATGGGAGTACATTGTTTCAAATCACCATTCATTCTGAACCGTAAACGCCACATTTGTTTCTACCTCCTCATATTAAAGCTGACAGTCTATACTATAATAACATATTGATTGTTTGCCTTTGGCTCGACTGTGTTGGTGTTTAAAGAGAAAATGATTCAGATTGTGGAAAGTGTAGGCAGGTTCCCATACGGCACCACACACAGTGACAATTATCCCTGAGGTGGCTAATCCAGGCCAGCTTCAGAAGTCCTAAAATAGCATGATTATATTGCCCATTCAGCATTACACTGTGCCAAAGACAAACAGTTGTGGAAATCTTGAAATCATTGTTGCAATAATTACAATAATTACTGAAATAACTTCCTGAGTCTTGTGAAATCCTCTGTTATGTGTTTAAACCTTGTGCCATTTGCATCATGGAAAGTAGCAATTAAAATGTTCCCTGTTCTGCATGACTTATGTAATGAATTTGTATTGGAACGTTCATGTCTTTGCATTTCATTATAGACACATGTTTCAGATTATTTGGACCACTTTGCATTCATACACAACATATCATAGGAAATGTTCTTTGGCGACAATTGCTGACTTGTGAAACCGGTAAAATAAACAATTATGTGGAATAGAAAGCAGAATTATGTATATGAACTGATGAGTTGAACCAAAATTAACATATAAATTAACTCCACTGCCTGGCCAAAAAATTACTAAAAAGCTAAACAAACTCACTACCTGGATTTACACGTGTAATTGGATAAATACAGCAAGTTCAACTATGTTATGTGACTGAAAAAAGGGGTCACTGGACATACTTTTCTTACATGTTGATGGAGATATTCAAAGATTAAACATTTGGTTGTAGGCAGCATCCTGTAATTTTAATATAGTAGACATTTTCACATTGTTTTGGCACTTTTTCTATCTAATTTTACTTCAAAATTGTGTTACTTTTGTTGTTTACTTTAAAGTTCTGGACTCTGTGGTTGCCAATTCATGTGTTAAAAAAGTCTCATGCTGCCGGAACACAATATTTCTACGCTATTTAGTTTGTATTCCACTTTTTTTATCCACTTTTATTACTATTACAGAATGACTTTGCCTTGAAATTCTTATAGTGTGCTGTGTTTGTGAAAATATTAAAATTGTTAATCATGTAGTGTCATAAGACTGGACCAAATTTGCTTGATAAAACCCATCTCATATTTGCTTCTGCTATTGGTACAAGACAGTATGATTTTGTGTGCATTACATTAAATCACATATTAATCAAAAAGGATGTAACGATATCCAAGTCTCACGATACGATATTGAACCTCACGGTACGATATTTATTGCGATATCATGGAAAAGCTCACGATATGGTGGGGAGGCTCACGATTAGGGATGTAACGATATCCAAATCTCTGTCCGTACGATATTTATTGAGATAATTTGTGGAGGCAAACAAAACTGTTAAAATGCTACTTTTTCCTCTTAAAATACCTTGACAAGACTTAATCCAAAGAACTAAGACTTAAAAGTGCTTAAAACTGTTATTTCTTCATGTAGTCTACGCCAAAATGGAGCAAAGGATCATGGTCTATGTAGTTCTGTGTCTTTTTTTTTTAGCTACTGCTAAACCATAACTCTTAATTTTGGTTTGGTTAATATTTTGGTTATTGTTACATCCCTACTAATCAATACTAAAACCAGTATCAAAACTTAAAAAAGTAAACAGGATAGAAGTTAACCTTCCCTGAATAGCTTTTGAATGATCTTGAGCTGCATCAGAACAAGTATAAAATCACATATACCTGGACAACTGAATTTTCCAGGCATTTTGCAGATCTAAAACCATGTGGTAATGTAAAAGAAAGTACTATTATAATCTTGAAAATCACATTCTACTTTCCAAATAGTGTTTTTTTTATTACCATTGCAATATCAGAATCAGTATTGCTTATTATCTATTCCTTAGTATCGCAATAGAGTTTGAAATTTTAGCATTGTAACAACTCTACCATATTATTTATGTCTTTGTTATTGTCTTTCTGTTCAGGATGACTGGTCGGGAGTTCTTCACGCGTTTCCCTGCTCTGTACCCGTTCCTCTTGACTCAGCTGGAGGAGGCAGCAGCCACAGTGGAGAGGTGAGCTCATATAAACAGTCTGCCCCGTCACCGTTCACGCTTGTGTTTGACTTAATGGTACAACTCCCCTCTGTATCAGTGTGTTTGAGAGCGGACCAGCTGCACTGCCGCACGTCACCCGTTTAAAACTTGTACATGTGACGTACTTGTTGAGTTAAACGTTGATAAAGTTTTTGTTTGGATGTTGGAAGACTCCCTTCTTAAAAGTGAATATATACGCACCATTTGAATTGTAGGAGTGAGACCACAGACTGTATTTATATAAATGGACAGAGCTAATGCACTAACCGTCGTGTTCTGAATAGGAAGTTTGTATGCGGCTCTTACGGCTCCTACTGACACTTTCTCCCATTGCTTAACGTTGGAATATTATCACAATTTGTATATCATTCATTTTTCAAAATAAAACCAAAAATAAGAAAACAAAAAAACAACTGTGTTCTTCATTATTTGTCTCCAAAACCAAAATGAAAAAGCAGATAACGATTTTGTGTTTAAATGAACGGCTGTTTCCCGTATCTGTGACTTAAAAAGCGATGCCGGATTTTTGTGCCGCAATATGGACTGAACCACAACTAAACCAGGTCCGGGACCAGACCAGGACTTAGACTGGGACTGAGACCGGGACCAGACCGAGACTGAGACCGGACCAGACCAGGACCAGACCAAAACTGAGACTGGGACTGAGACTGGGACTGAGACTGGGACTGAGACTGGGACTGAGACTGAGACCGGGACTGAGACCGGGACTGAGACTGGCACCAGACCAGGACTGAAAATGTTTTAGTCCTGGTTTAGTCCTGGTTCAGTCCGTATGTGGCGCAAAAGTCCGGCGTCACAGTTTAAATCACATTAACGGGAAACGGCCATTATCACTTTTTTCCATTATTCATTTAAACACAAAATCGAAAACTCAAAAATCGAATCGCTACCCATGTTTTCATTTTGGTTTTGGAGACAAATAATGAAGAAAACAGTTGTTTTTTTCATTTTATTATTTTTGGTTTTATATTGAAAAACGAATGATACACGGATTTATCTCTCTTTAACTCCCTGTATGTTCGTATTAACCCGCTCTACATGATGCTGGTGTTTTTATTTCACTATTTTGTCCATTAAAAACATTATATTCCTAAGACAGAGCCTTCCTCCAAGTGAGTGGAGCCCAGCGCTATTGGTGACGTCACAGTCCCTTAGTCCACTCTTTTATACAGTCTATGGGTGAGACTTTGAATAATTGTAAAAGTGGACGTCAATCCAATCCAGTCCACTTTATTTCTGTAGCTCATTTCACAAACAGTTTTCAAAGTGCTGCAGAAATACACACTAATAACAACAGTAATAATGTAAAGATAAAATAAATGCTCAGATTTAATCATACTAATCCTAAATAAAAAATACAACAACAACAACAACAAACAACAACAACAACAACAACAACAACAACAACAACAACAACAACAACAACAACAACAACAACAACAACAACAACAACAACAACAACAACAACAACAACAACAACAACAACAACAACAACAACTACAACTACAACTACAACTACAACAACTACACTACAACAACTACAACAACAACAACAACAACTACAACAACAACTACAACAACACAACAACTACAACAACAACTACAAACTACAACAACTACAACAACAACAACTACAACAACAACAACTACAACAACAACTACAACAACTACAACAACAACAACAACTACAACAACTACAACTACAACTACTACAACTACTACAACTACTACTACTACTACAACTACTACTACTACTACTACTACTACTACTACTACTACTACTTACTACTACTACTACTACTACTACTACTACTACTACTACTTACTACTTACTACTTACTACTACTAACTACTACTACTACTACTACTACTAACTACTACTAACTACTACTAACTACTAACTACTACTACTACTAACTACTACTACTTCTACTACTAAATCAAATAAAAGACACAGAGGACCACACAGCTCACGCGGTGTTAAAAACCAGAGAATAAAAGTGTGTTTTAAGACGAGACTTAAAACACTCCACTGTCAGGGCTGTTCGGACCTGGAGGGGCAGAAGTGTTTCAGAGTTTGGGGCCGACCACAGAGAAGGCCCTGTCCCTCCTGGTTTTAAGTTTTGTCTTAGGCACCACGAACTGGAGCTGGCCCTCGGCTTTAAAAACAAACAATAAAATCTTAAAATCAATTCTGAAATTAACAGGAAGCCAGCGCAAAGTTGCAAGAAATGCTGAAGAAGCTATAGATTGCCTTCAGGTTCACATTTTATTATTATTTATTTTTTTGTTTGTTTGTCATAATTTAAAGGCAGGGGTCTTATATAACTAGTCACATCCAAAATTATGATCCACATATGTTGAACCCCATCATTATTTGTTGTGGACTGGCTTCCCAAACTTGCCCTATTAATCTTCCTCTCAACTGAAAACAATTACAAGTATGGGGTTGACTAATGGCACCACTTTCTGAGGCTTTTGTGTTTGAATGATCTCACTTTTGTTTATTTACTCCGACAGAGAAGACACTGAACTTCTTCCAGTTTTTTGTTTCATGTGGAGATTTCCAGTAATTACAGGCATGTTAACCGTAACCGTAACAAAATATATGTGATGTGTGACAGCAGAACAGCCGATTCAAATTCTGTCGTAGATTTCAGACCTGTCCTCCAGCTCCATTTTAAGATGTTTGCAACCAAAGCCAAACACACTGGTAAAATATAAACTGTCAACATTGCATCGTTAAAACATTTAGTAACGATAATGCAACATACTCCTTACTGATATTAACGACGATGTATTAATAAAGAAGTCTTCTAGTTTAAAATACAGCTAAAAACAGTTCATTTGTGACATCCCTCAGCTTGTTATTGAGGCATGAACAGCTGAGTACAGCGCTGGACGGTTTACAGTGGGGAGTTGAGTCCTCGGAGGTTCATTGGCCTTATCTCTCTCTGTTCGGTTCATACTCCCGTCTTAAAAGCTCCGTCAGCTCCCAAAACCTCTTATCTTAATGTGGATCCAATTAATAGCTGCACTTTTATACAGACTCTTTCACAATCTCCCCCTCTCTACTTTCTGACCCTTGTTAAAACATTCACAAATTTCCCACGGATTCAGTTCTGGGCTGTCGGACGTCCCACCAGCTCAGCCACCCAAACACAACAACCACAGCCAAACCAGGCCGAGACACTTAGTGGTTTTCGACAATCTTGTTGCGTAAAGTATAGTGTGTTCCATTTTGTTAGGCCAGTGTGTATACAGAATAATGTGTCATTTGCAACAAGATCTTGTAAACAAATATGGCTGCAAAACAAAGTGTGCAGGACCAGCAGTTTATTTGATGTCGAAAACAAATGTAGTATGCTCATTTTAAGACATCAAACAATATCATCTCTCAGCGCGGGTTTAGACTGGTGTTAGACTTGGTTTAGTCCTGGTTTAGCCCTGGTTTAGTCCTGGTTTAGTCATGGTTTAGTCCTGGTTTAGTCATGGTTTAGTCATGGTTTAGTCCTGGTTTAGCCCTTGTTTAGTCATGGTTTAGTCCTGGTTTAGCCCTTGTTTAGTCATGGTTTAGTCCTGGTTTAGCCCTGGTTTAGTCCTGGTTTAGTCATGGTTTAGTCCTGGTTTAGTCATGGTTTAGTCCTGGTTTAGTCATGGTTTAGTCCTGGTTTAGCCCTTGTTTAGTCATGGTTTAGTCCTGGTTTAGCCCTTGTTTAGTCATGGTTTAGTCCTGGTTTAGTGCTGGTTCAGTCCTGGTTTAGTCCTGGTTTAGTCCTGTTTCAGTCCTGGTTTAGCCCTGGTTTAATTCTGGTTTAGTCCTTGTTTAGCCCTGGTTTAGTCATGGTTTAGTCCTTCTGGTTCAGTCCTGGTTCAGTCCTGGGTTAGCCCTGGTTTAATCCTGGTTTAGTCCTGGTTTAGTGCTGGTTTAGTCCTGGTTTAATCCTGGTTTAGTCCTGGTGTAATCCTGGTTTAGGCCAAGTTCACACAAAACTAACTCAAGACTTTAGACCTGGGATAGTCTTGACTCCTTGTCCCTTGACTTGACTCCTTGTTTAGTCTTGGTTTAGACCTGTTTCAGTCCTGGATTGTTCCTGGTTTAAACCAATAGAACATCAAAACAAAGTGAATATTGGGAGCAGTTTTGGAAAGAAAAAAAAAAAATCCATGGGAATTGAAAATGCTTGTTCATAAAAAGGCATGAATTACTTCAACTCTCAGCACAGACTTAGTCCTGCTTTAGTCCTTATTTAGTTCTTGTTTAAACTTAGTGACTCATGGGTATCACCTGGTGAAATTCTGCTTTAGTCCCAGGTTTAGTCCTTGTTTAGACCTTACTTTTGTTAAACCTGGTATAGACCTAGTTTAGATGGCATTTAGTCCTGGGTTAGTCCTTACTTTTGGGCCACACCACACTTAGATATAGTCTTGGTTTAAAATTGGTTCAGCCCTCATTTAAATCTGGATTAATCCTGTTTGTTTTGCGCTTTTGTTTAAGACTACAGTCCACTGTTTAGATGGTAAATTAATTTGAGCATGCTCATTAAAAGACATCACACAACATGATCTGCTCCCTAATTTGGAACAGAAGGGGCTCAGTACTTGTTTTTGTCCCGGCGATAAAATGCATCACTCGAGATCTTCTTATGCATGAGTGTGTTTTTTGTTATGTTCATTGCACAGAGGAATTACTCACCATCTTGATCCTGAATATTTGAAAATGTATTCTTGCATCTTCAATTATTCAGTTTTAGGAGGTTTATTTCAACAATTATAAGACTTTTTGGTTTTGTATTGTACTCTTTATAGTTTATGCAATATTGGCGTGAATCATCATTTAAAACGTACCAGAATTTAAGATGCAATTTGAAACGTAATCAAAGTTTTAAAACTAAGCCAGCAAGTTGTAGCCCTGAGTTAAAGACCACAGACCACAGCCTAAAAAAACAACAGATTTA